AAATGTGATTACAATTATCATCCGTATATAATAGGGGTACTTGGGTCGCGCGTTCACGCGCTTATATTTATACTGATATCGGTACATTAACGATTATATATGAGCGGCTCTTCCATCCCGTTGGGCTTTCAATTTCTTTTTTTTTCCCATTTACGTATCTCTACCCGCGAACCGACGATTTTTTTTATGCTCTTATATGTATACGCAATTTTCATACTATAATATAACTTCTTTCGCAATTTTTTTTTTTAATTTCTTTTTTTATACTTTTTTACACGACACATGGCTTTCGCACCGCGTGAAATTTGACTTATACCGTGATCCGATTGATTCATTATTTTTTTTTTTCTTACTTTTTCGATAGACGATATAGAAAAAAAAAAAAAAAGTCCAGACCTTTGATACTTTTTGTCGGTGTGAACGAAAAATTGAACCCACATTGGGTTCTATACTTAAAACAAAAGCGTCTATGAACGTCTCTCAAGTCTCAGAATCAAAGGGCTAGATTTTTCCTACCGGATCACATGCAGACAGTATTCGATTAGTTAAACATTAAGTGTACGCTTGGTCAAAATATCGTAACGTGTTCGTGGTTTGCGTAAAAAAAGTAATCAATAAGTGTTGACACGATCAATGTATTTAATATCAATAATAATAACAATATATAACGGTGTTGCGTACGTGTTATGCATATCATTATATTGTAGCAGCGTTACTCGATATTGTCCATACAACATAATTTCATTTATATTTGTTTTTTTTTTTTTTCTCAACTAAAAACAGTCTCCTAAAACACGAAACGCCCTTCTCTCTTTTCGCACCGTCCAAGTTGCCATTCTCACACTTGACTTAAGACCTACGTTTTATATATATTTATAACTTTGTTTAAGTACATATTTACAATATCCTTGGTTTTACATTCGCGAGAACTGTGCCCTTACGTCTCGGCTTGAGGTATACTCGCGAATCTCGTCCAAACTAGCGATTTGGAAAAAAAAAGGAAAAATAAAAATAAGAGTTAAAAGAGCAACGCTCACAGGTGCTCTCGATAAAGTTTCGCTGCGTCGAGCGTAAATTTCTGAGCTCGGAAACGAAAAAAGAAAAAAACTCGCAAGCGTATTTCTCGGCTCGGCCGACCCTCGGTGCTTTAACTTTAACTCTGGAAGAACCTCGAGTTTTTCGAAAAATCTCCGGCAATTTGTTGAAAGCGAATCAACGTAATTTCCTTCGTTGTAAAGAAAGCCGAGAAAGCCGCGCTTGCGAAACATCAAAAAACAGCCAATAACTGCAGCGGAAACATCGATACAGTTACGTGTACCATCGACAAGTAATATATGCGCATAGTTCATCTGACCTAAGCTTGTCGTTCTTCTCGCGTTCCAAAGATATTACCTTTTGCCTATCATCCCCCGGAGGGATGGCACCGGGAAAAGCCCCTGACAAAGACAACCAACGCTCCCTTTGATTATTCACGACTACACGTGGCCCCTATCGAACTTAACGACCCGACACGTGACCCAACACCATCTATTTTTTTTTGCTTTTTTTTCTACACGCGTGGCCGTGGCGCAATTTACAAATCCAGACTCGGCGTTTACTTTTCATCAATAGAGATCAACCGAGGACGCGTGCCTTGAATCATACGTTAGAAAAATGAATAAATGTTCAGTTCGAGATTCGTAACGGGGGATGATTGAATTCAGTGAGGCTCTGGGCGGGAAAAACCTGTTGGGCAGATGTAATGATCACGATCACGAAGTAAATTACTCGCGTTTTCTCGCGAGGTGGTTTGGCAAATTTGTTTGCTCGTTAAATCACGCGGGTCGTTGAAACGATGAATTTTCCGTTTTAAAACACTGACGCGCAATTTCATCGGAAACAATCGGTGAGGGTTTATTGGGGTACAAACATCGGTGGCGTCGTTAAAAATGCTAATCAGCAAACCGCAACGTGATGGTAAAAAAAAAGAAGTAAAAATCAACGCCGATTTGTATGCAGGAGAACGTTTCTCTCCCGTGGCCGAAAAAACTCCGGGGAACCCCGATGCATTGGAATCATAAAAAAGGGAGTAGTGAAAAACAAACAAAAAAATGGTAAAAAAAAAAAAAAAAAACCAGCAGATATCTCCGCGATCGCGTTAGTTGCAGTGCGCGCCAAATGAATGTCCCGCTGGCCGCAGCAGCCTCTCTTTCCATTTTTCGCCCAGAGATGGAGATTGGGTAATTTTACGGGCGGGGAAAATCCGATTTCTCGCCACATCAATACCGAGCCCAGTCGCTTCTCTACGCACAAACCTCACGCAGGTTCAACAGCTACGGATTCATTACTTATAGGATGCGTTATTGATCGAAATAAAAATGTATGAGCACTGATGCCTCATACCTGTTGGTATTTCTTTTAATCCTCGAGCAATGTGGAACCTCGGCCAGTCGCACAAACCAATGGTCTTGTTTTTTGGTGCTCTCCTCCGTCGTGGACTCGACATTAGTTACCGTCAGCCACTTGACTGTGCCCGCCCCGATGAGCGCTATTTTTGCTATTAATTTCGACTCGCAAAAACCGTACTCCCAGGACCTCGTAAATCATTTTTCTCTCCAACCCAAAGAAACCGTTCTTGTATTATTGCGCACGGCATTAAAAACCATTACGAGGAAGACCATCGCAAATCTCCTCCAAAGAGCAGGTGAGACGTCATTGGATTAATTTTCCATTTCGAGAGGGAAAACGATGTCTCTCCGAGAAAATTCGCGTCGCCGGTGAGATGATGGAAATCGGATTCTTACCCTCGACAAAAGTGGTTTTTAGCCCGTAAAAATACACCCCGATTGTGGCTCCTTCCAGACCAATGCTCCGTGTCGTCTTCGGAGTGCATTTTTTTGCGCTGGTTACTCAAGGGGACGGACTTTTTTTGCGCGCACTCGGCACTTTGACGTAATCCCGATTGGAATCGGCGCACCGATTGGCCGCCTCCATCCCCCCCCAGATCCTCGTCATTATCTTGCGTAAATAGTCTGAGGCTGATCGTTCGGTAAAAGCTTTTTAGCGCTTCGTGCCTATGTCGATTTGAGAGAGAGTGCAGTCTCTGTAGGTACAGGGAACGGGAGGCGGGGGCAGGAGATGCTGTTTAACGAGTTCCCTTTTTTCCGATTTCGTTTCGGGGTTGATGGCAACGATGCTCTTTGATTGGAATTTTAGTTAATTTAAGAAATTGCTCACTTTGGAAAGCATTGTGGATGATTTTTTTTTTTATTTGCGTGTATGAATATCGCAAACTGGCGTGAAAAAAAAAGTATGAATTGATAAAACCTTCGAAAAATCGTATCACAATTTTTGTTCGACTTTCATTATCAGTCATCGGTTATGATAGTATATCAGGGTTAGCTGGAGTGAACGGATATTTTCAAAATGCAAAGGAAATCTAATTATTATTATTATTTTTTTTTTCATCGCAATGGCAGTATTATTATTGAAACGGGCATTGGAAATATTGCTTAATGAAATCTCGCCAGTCGAGTCAAATTGAGCCAGTCCGACTCTTCTGAAGATATCCTAACTGCGCACCATCGCAAGAATCATTTCTTACTTGGATATTTATAAAATAAGAATTAACAAAGCATTTTTAGTTACAATACAGTAGCGTAGAATAAGTACAAGTTGATAAAAGGAGTAAATAATGTGTTAAAAATTTTTTTAATGGATTTGAATTTAATAATAGAAAGAAATGCTAACGATTAAAGTAATGTATTTCTTGCAGTAATGTACATTACATTATAAAACAAATTGAAAGAAGTCATACAATATTCGTAAGTACATATTAATACTTCCGTTGAACATTTAATCATAAAATCTTGATTACCAAACTCTCACAACATGTTGTAATATAATTGTCGCAACAAAATTATCGGACTTGATGATCCTTTTTTCCATTTATTTTTCTTGATTTCTACTTGGTATGGATTCATTCTTGATAAAATTACGAGTAACAAATTTTCACGTTTTTATAAATTGCAATGACGCACACTCTATAGGCCATTATAAATACTTATCAAATAATGAAAATTATACGTAAAAAAAAAAAAGAGTAGTGGGGTCGTGAAATACATTCAAGGGTATAAACAAGTTGGCTTACAAAAATTAAGTTGAGTTGTCATACAATTGAACGACGGGTGGATATGTATATGTAACAATAACATTTACAAATTGACCAAATTAATGTTTCTTGAAACGGCAGTAATTATTGTGTCAATACGATATAATTTCCAATTGAGGCATGTACAAACTTCATTTCTCAAGCATTTTTCCAATGTTTAGTGAATAAATTTATTTTTTATTTTTTATGAGAGCCTGAGCCACTGCGTTATCATATACATTATTCTTTTTTAAAAATGCTCCAAATTGATATAAAATAAATATAAAATTTTACCTAATAACTTCGAAACAAAGTGGTGAGAAATTTTTGGCTAGGATTATTCAGTCTGTATAATACGTTCCTCTTTCATTTGGTTTGAAGCAAAAAAAGTTTTCGTCTGACGCAAAAAGAGCTCTACTACTTACTCGTCCAACCAGAGAAAAAAAAATAAATAAACGAGGCTAGAAAAAAAAAAAAGCAATTTAAACTGTTCAGTACAAAAACAGGAAAACACTTGCAAATGACTCGTATTTGGATGCCCGTTGCTTGAATACTTCCCAAATTTTCCCGTCACGTATTTTGTCGAGCTGGAAAAACCCATCATTCCACGATCCTGCATTACAGACTCGGAAATTTTTTTCTCGCCAAACCAGAGATTGGAGAAAAAAAAAAGAGTCATCCAACCCGCACACACCCGACGAGCAACATTCAGCCAAACAATCCCAAAAAGAATCACTCCTTTGTCCGTTTTAGCGCACGGCACCCGCCACAGACAACGAGGTCCATTATTATCCTCGCCTCTGAAACGCCTTGTTCTTCCATTCGTCGAATCCAAGCGTTAAAAGCACGTGCTGGTGCACCCCCAAATCGCTCCTTTGAACTGTCAAACGCAGAAAGTCAGACGCGGAAAGAAAGGGAGAAAGGAAAACACCACTACTCTCGACCCACACTTTTTTTTTCCCTCCTTCTTAGTCGCGTCCATCTTTTCGTCGAGTACATTTACGTAGTTTCCGCAGCACCTCCGCTTTAATAGAGCAGCAGACAGAGGCAGAGCAGCAGGGAGTAGAACCGGGGCTGGTGGGCCTGGCCGCCGTGCTGCATCGCCGCGGGATGCTCTCCTGAAACAAGCGGCCACACTTAAGTCCTCTGGATCGAGGGCAGAGGGTCAGGAGGGGATCGGATCGGACCATCGATGTATGAAAATGGCACTGTGCACATATTCACCGAATTTATGCAGTTGACAGTATTGCGATAATATCATAACCCAATGGTATTAAACTATACATTAAAAAGAATAAACAATCATCCTAGTAATGGTCGATGCATTGTCGCGTACCTCGACTTCTCATGATTATTTACCTCCACTGGGCGAAGTGACGGTGCCATTAACATTTCGTTGTCTTACCACACGGTTCGGTCACAACTGCCACAGTGTTTGAAATAAAATAAAATTTCCATCCGACTCAACGGATCCACAATTTATTATTTAGCCAGCTCAATTAGGCTTGCAGCCAGTACGGCTCTCGTGCGACAGCACCAGCACACAAGGGAGGAAGCTTGCAATTAAATATAGCGCGAACTGGCGGTCCAGAGCCCGAGAAATGAAAATCAAACATTAATGCAGAAGCGGTGTGTGCTGCTGGGTATAAAAAATTCATAAAACGCAGAGAACACGGAGTGCTAAAGCTCGAGCAATTGAGTAAGAGTAGCAGCTATGGGAACATTGAGTAGGGACAGGAGAGGGGAGGCTTGGACGCGAAAATAGCTTTGATTACACTGACTACCGAGTCTTTCTATAGCTTCAATTTGCGTGATTGCCGCTGCACCACGACGGTTTTTTTTTTATTTTCACGCGCTGGAGTATGTTTTTCGCGTATCATTTGCGACAGTGATGGCAATTCGTGTGGTGCGTGCACGAGGCGCTTTGAATATTTCAGAGAGTCCGCGTCGTCTTGCTGAACCCGTGCTTCGAATCCCCAGTAAAACGAGGTCAAAACGGAGGAAAATGACTCCCTCTCTATTATATGACGCATCTTGACTTTCGACAGTTGACACCTTTTTTTTTTTTTTTTTTTTTTTTTTCCAAGTTGAATGCCCTTTGCATCATGTAGTTTCTTTTTTTAGCGTGAGGAATAAAATAATTACTTTTTGCCCAATGAAAAGCTAATTTAATGGAGTAAAAATTCAATTTTGAAAATTAATTTAATCAATCTTTTTTTGGGGGATTCTACTCTTGTTTTGATTATGTATTATCTTTTTCGAAGGTTGAAGCAGTTAAAATCAGCGACTTTGGAATTCTCAAAGTTTGAACAATATTTTCTTGGGACTCGAGAGCCGCTGGAGTGAATCCCTTGAGAAATAATCGATTTAGTCGTGCTATTTGAGGAGAGAAGACAGTGAAAAAAAAGAAAAGTGTTTTGATAAGCAAGTAGGTCAGCTTTAAAAACCAAGTCCAATCAAAAGATTTGTTTAGGGATTTTTATTTTTAAAAAGTTAATCAAATGAAAGTTGTACTTTAGGTGGTAGGCGCTCGAGAGCGGTGGGTTTGCGATTTTTATTGTGAAAAAAAAAAAAAAAANTGTACGTATACATGCCGTGAGCGACCCCGCACTGCATGCAAGTCCGAGCGGTCCAAGCCGAACTTCTTGTTCACCAGCCGGGGGTGTATAGGTACGCTGCAGAGGTAGGGAGGGGGAGGTGGCCAATTTGTCGGAGCGCAGTAGTTATACTCGCCAGCTGTGGTAGGCGCTCGAGAGGGGTGGGTTTGCGATTTTTATTGTGAAAAAAAAAAAAAAAATAAATAAAATAAAGACAAACTTGTGGTGAAAGTTTCAAATTTAGTGCTCCGAAACCGAGTGAAAAAGCGATTGACCATGCAGTACCAAAACTTTTTCTGGTTTTGACGTCAAAATATATACTACGTCCGATAGAACCATTAACAGCCCAATAAATAGCAACTCGACAACTTTGAAAAAAAAAACAGCCACAAGCAAGAAAAGTTTGATCAAGTTTATACACCGAAACTACTTGGAAGCACAGTCAACCAAAAAATCTCCATTGCGCGATGTATGAAAAACAGAAAAAAAAAAAAATAAAAACGAAATCAAACAAAACTCAAAAAAAAAAATCTAGTTAACAGCCCAGGCCAGTAATCCAACAGTGTATTTCATTCAATAAAAGGCTTTGAAAGGCAGACTTTTTTTTTGGTATGTTTGGAAGGGAGCTCAGACTCTCGCAACTCCCCACGAACTGTCATAACATGATCGAGCTGATCTCGCGCGGAAAATTCCCCTCGTCGAAAATATCCGATAACAGTAGATATAAAACAAAAAAAGTAGTAATACTAACACTAACGTACATGTACGCAAATGTACATTTCAGTAAGCAAAAGAGAAAGATGGTCAGGTTCGTGTACATAATACTCACCGTTGAGCACGTGTACGTTGATGGACTTTGGCTGGGCGTTGCTCGGGTTGCACGTGTATCGACCCGAATCGGATTTTTGGGCCAATTGCACCAGCAGGAAGCTTGTCGTTCTGTCACTTTTTTCCGTCACTACGGACACACCGCCCCTGGACGAATCGTAGCTTATTATCTGTGAACCAGGAGCAAACGATCATGAGCATTCTCCCCTTTTGATTTCTCAATTAATATCAATAATTATTTAAAGTTATAATATTCTAAATACAAGTGATAGGTGACTCAATAGAGTCGTATCTTTTCATTTTCAAAAATATTTAATTAATTGAATTAGAAATTTGATCACTTTCGTTAAAATTTATTTAAATGAAATCGATAACCTTCAGTTTACAAAGTTATTTTCGTTTCATCAAAGTTGAAATTAAATTTTGCGGTGCAATTAAAATTTTATATTTAATTAAGAAAATATCTCATTGTTAATTAACAAAATAATAAACTTGTAACGATGTGACCGAGTTTCGTTTACATCTATTCATTTTGTAGCTAGTTTTCTCCCTCTTTTTCCTCCGCCATTCTCTTTGTATTTTCATTTCATTCTTTTNTTTTTTTTGTATTTTAATTTATTGTTCACAAGCAACAGTCATCATGATCAAGAGAATGAGAAGTTAATGTTTTTTCGAAATAACCTTACCACACGTAAAAAAAGTAATCCTCTGTCAAAATAAAAAGAAAAAAGGTCTACTAAATTCCACTCTACGCATCATTTTATTTTGAAACAAATAAACTGTGTTTCATTGCTATTACAAGATGTGCCAAAACAGTGGCTACTCTTCTCAACAACAGACATTATTATTATCTAGAAATTTATTCTTCTATATTATTTTGATATAAAAATAAACATAAACTCTGAAAAATCTTATATGGCCTTAGAGATCGTAGCTTTGGGTAAAAATACGTGGACAATCGGAGCATCGGTAAGTATGCTGTGAGAAGTTTATGTGACTCATGGCTCATAAGACTCTTGTTTCGAGTGCAATTTGCTAAACGTACAGTGCAGAAGTACTGTTTGCCTATGTATGCACTGAGTCAACAAAAATCTTTGCAAATATTTTGGCTCAAGTGGGGCCTCCTCGAGAAACGATTACCATCAGCCATAATTTTTTAACGAGACTCTCGGAAATTCCAAACCAGCTGCAGTTCTATAATGAGCTTTGCCGTCGCTGTTGTTAGTCTTCTAAACTGAAGATGATATAGTTTTGTGATTATGGGACAAAAGGGAACTTGTTAGCAACGTTATTGTATTTATGTTAAAAAAATTTTTGAGTAATGATGATTATTTTATCAATACGTAAGCATGAAATTACTGTTTGCATTCATACATTGTATAAAATGTTTTTTACTATTCACTTACTTTTTATAAAATCACTACAAAAATCAAATGAAAAATCGAAATGATGAAAAAAATCTCTCTATATTATTGTTAAAACCTATGTAGATGCTCCAAAATCAGTGCATATCAGAACAACAAAGCGACTCGAATCTTCAATTTAACCTAATGAATAATGGATAACCAACCCCAGGAAGTTTTCACCAATATTTACACTTTTCCAAACTCCCCGTTTAGAGCTCATAAAAAGTCAAACCGTACTTTCTTGGAGCGTGCACTTAATTCCATCTCATTTGTTTTTTTTTTTTTTTTTTTTTCTCAACTTATAAACTGAGATGCCGGCTGATTTGGCTTGCTAAATTCATTTCGAAAACCAAAAAACTTTTCACGAGCCGCCTCTTTTACTCGGTCGCGAGTTACTTGCCTTTGTTTTTTCCTCCTCCTGTATACCTATTTGCTCGTCCATGCAAATACAGTATGAATACAAAAGCTTCTTCTTTGGTTAACGCTACTTTCTTTTTGCCATGAAATTATTGAATTTTTCAATCATGTTTCAATCACTGTCAGGGGCAAGCAAGCAATGAATACTTTTTCTTCAGCAACACTTGTATTGTTCACAAATGGCATGAATCATTTTTTATTTTTCAAAATTCGTTTGTCTACACTCTCGAAATTCCTTATCACATATACTTCGAAAAATTACCCAAGAACTGCCGTACACGGTATAAATATACTCATTCACGAGATGTTGCATCAGATGGCAGGCCATTATTTTCCAACGAATGGATTATTAAATACATAATTTTCCTTGAATCCGAGCGAAATTCCGAGTATTAATTTAAGCAGGAAGTACCAAGCTTTCGTGCAATTTCTGTTATCTCGCCAAAGTTATTTTCGGCCCTTTGTACCGTAACATTATCAAAAGATAAACTTCTCGTAAGTATCCAAGGGCTTAGGCAAAGGAATCAAAATCTTATGTCAGACGTGCAAAGCAGAAATTAAACTTAGTTGAATTTCCCCTACATTGTCATTATTGTGACGACGAATCCGCGTAGTAATTTCATACGCATCCAATCATACACGTTTTTAAAATTATTTTTAATCCTATCAAACGAACGAAAAGGTCAAGTACTCACAGGGACTGAGAAATTAGTATTTGCACTCGTATAATATCACCGTTGACATCTCGAGAATCAATAATTGCAGTCGTCATAAATATGCAAAGTCAGAAGCTAAGAGGGGGAGCGATCGATAAAGTGCCGTAAACCCCCGTTGATTGCGGATATCACTTGACGTTTCATCAAATCGCTAGAAAAAAAGGACAGGGATTGGTTTGTCGCGCAATCAATTCAAACGAAACGCGAAATTAAGGTTCACAAGGATGCCGCTACATTTGCTCTTGGCCCGTTTTATACAAATGACATTAGATGCAAGTGACAACAATCCGCCCAATTTTTATCCACGTTTCACCCTCTCCCATCTGCTCTGGCGAACATTATTTTTCCAATCGAAGCCAGAGAGAGAGAGAGAGAGAGAGATCTTGTCTTTTTTGATGCAAATGCAAATCGCTCGGAAAAACCAGCCAAGGGGGGGGGGAGCAGCTTGTAAAAACGTAATTTGGCCCGTTATCCTCTTCCCTCCGACCCAAGGAGAAAAATCGAGGAATTATGAGTCCCCTATTGAGCGTCGTCAGCGAGCCTCCTCAAATTCGAAGGAGGGCCGCATTATACAGAAGTTGTACGTATACATGCCGTGAGCGACCCCGCACTGCATGCAAGTCCGAGCGGTCCAAGCCGAACTTCTTGTTCACCAGCCGGGGGTGTATAGGTACGCTGCAGAGGTAGGGAGGGGGAGGTGGCCAATTTGTCGGAGCGCAGTAGTTATACTCGCCAGCTGGCTTGGCTGACTTCCAGCGATCGCTTGCTCTGGCGGGGGAGTGGCGCGAAATTGTTTCTATTAAAAAGACGGTTAATCACGCGCGCGCGACCCAGAGAGAGGGGTGGGGTGGGGGGGGGGGCTCATTTCGCATTCCACGCGCGAGTTGCGATTTTGCCTTGGCTTTATAACGGCCCCCTCGTCCTCCTCCACCTCTGGTGCTTTTTGCCTTTGGCTTCAAGTTTATCGCTGCGACGACCACGACGTTGGGACGATGGTCGGACGTTTCGAAGTGAGAGGCTGGACAGGAGGGGTTATCGTAACGAAGACCCCTAAGATGCGTTTGGCACGTGTTGTATTGTTATTGTGGTTTGATGGAACAATTGTTGGGAGAAATAATTGCTACAATGAAATTTTACACTTCAAATCGGTTGCTTGTTTGAAGATTAAATTAATTCATTGATCAATTTGATGGTTACGCGAAGAGTACAATTATCAGCAAATAAAAGTGGAAGAAAAATGCAAAAGTGGGTGCACTTTTCGTATGGGGAAGATAATATGAAACGTGTAACTCCATCGTTGCTGGTTGACTGAAAGAGCACGGCTTTTTTGTCCCTCTGGGCTGGAAAAATCGAGAAACTAATCGTGAAAAAATCAGTTCTGCCAAACTATTTTTATCCTCGAAGAAGCACGAAAGAGGGAATCTTTTTTTCATCCCCGCAAAAGTGAGGGTAAAAACGCTTTTATTTTTTGTTAAATTTTTTTTTTTTTTACAAAAGGAGACGCTCTCGGTACAGCGAAAAATCTGGCGGAAATTCAAAAAGGGCTCTCGAGGCATCAGCGACGTGCATAAATCATACGTGCACCGTACATACACACGGGGCACACGAGAACGCGGGGAGGAGAAGGAGGAATAAGGTCCGAGAAAGATGTATGCACATTCACTCGCAGCGCGCTCTGTTTGCCAGGTCCGCGCGTCTTATCTCTCCGCGTTGACACCAGGGTTTTTTCTTCTTGTCTCGATCCTCGAAAGCAGCTTCACGTCTCTCTCTCTCTCTCTTTTCCATAGCTTTTTCTTCCTTTCATCGCGACTGAAAATTTCATCCTAGTGTGACAAGTGTTAGTTTTTTCATGCGCGTTGACTGTCGTCATTTTTTTTTCTGCACTTTAATTTTTTAAGATAAACAGATCACTTGCTATTTTGCCGATAAAGATAAAAAAAACCTTTTCCATACACGTATAAAACACTTGTAAGGTATCGCCTGTACGTTCAACGTGCGAAGATAATTCATCACACCGAAAATGAGGTGCTCCTTACGAGCTCAAAAAATATTTGGCCGTTACAAACTGGATTTTCCCATCCCATGCGTAATAAGCAACGAGCGACGCCGCACGTGTTCCGTAACCCGGAAGAGGAAGAAGAACAAAACAAGGACGATGGCGTGTGGAGGATTCGTTTTTCTTGGCTTATTTACTCTCTGTCACCTCTACCGCGCACATTTATTCAAAATTCTTCTCGCTCCAAAAAAACTTTCCTCACAAACGCGTCCTTTGACTACTACCCTGGAAACGCCAAGACACAGGAAAAAAAAGGGGGAAGCGATACAGGGGGGAAGACTCTGATATCGCCTTTCATCGCTATTTTGTAATAAATTCGTCTCAACTCTCGACTCGTTTGTTCGACACACGCGCACCACACTTGTACGTCTCTCTTTTGTCGTTTCTCGCTCGGGTTCCGTGTATCTTCAGAATCGCGAGTAAGGAGGTCGCGAGTCTGGCTCTCCTCCTCTCGGTGCGTACTCGTTTTTTATTTTTATACAAGTACTTTGAGGTGTGTGTGTGTGTGTGTCGACTGCTGAGGCAAGATGATATGTGACTCTATGCTCATATGCATGTGTCGCATCCAAGTGCCC